TGCTAATTAAATAGTTTGAAAGAATGGCTGTGGGCTTTCCTAACAAGGCTGCCACTTTTGAATGCTTTTTGCTCAAAAAGCTGTGCAGGGCTACACCAAGCATGAATTTTCTATAGCAGCTTTCTCCATGCTTGATAGACCCATTAAATTTCCATACAGCATGATCAATACTTGGAAATTCTGACTATTCTTGATCTAAAGGGTACCAGCTCGGAGAAAATGGTCATTCTAGGATACCTTATTTGGAAAATTGGGTCAGAAAAGTCTATCTTTAGAGACATTTGTGAGATGGATAAAGATGGCCAAGTGATCCCCAGGTGGCTTCCTGACAGCAGCACCATTAAGGGATTGAATGGGTCATCCCAGATAACAATATAAAACTTGTATACATTTTTACATTTGTAGGAACGTAGTGTTTTTCCAGGAGAACTTGAGTAGAACAAGCTGTGACATTGGCAGTTCATGGTTTCTTTCCTTTCTTTTTAATTTAAAAAAAAATGGTGGGTTGGGTGGTGATTTTTAATGATGTCATACAGAATTCCTGTCATACAAGAAAAGAGACAATACAATAAATACTCGAGAGATGAGTGGAGAATCTTCCCTAATCAGAATCTCCTATATGCTATTAAGTATGGAAGCAAAAAAAAAAAACAAATACAGTGACAGCTTAGAAACTAATAAGTGTATTATCAAATAAGTTGTCACGAATGGCTATTTCATCACAGATGCTCTGCTGAAAAAACATATAATAGAGGCATCCATATTTTTCTTCTAATTGAGTATTAATAATGCTTGAGGGGCAGGTCAGTTTTTATTACCAAAACCTGGTAAGGAAAAACACCTCTTTTTCCCAACACTCACAGAAAAAGCCCTAATCAGGCTTCTTACATATGTTTTTAGTCCCAGAGAATTATCCTGGAAGTTCTGATCTCAGATATCCCACAAAATATAAAAATTGACCCTTATTTCACATATTCAGAGCCAAACCACATAGCTACATTTATTTTCTCCACAACATAATGTAACAGGATGTCTGCCCCATTCCATCACAGCTGTTCTTCACAGAGAAATGTTTTCCCCAAATGTTTCTTCCATCAAGTTTCAAACCAATATGAGTGAAATACATATGGATATAGAAGGGATACTGGAGGGTATAAAGTGGTTAAAAAGACTTTAAAAGGGAAAAAAAAAGTTGTCGAGAGGTTTTGAGTATCTCCTCCTTCACTGCCAAGTGCTGAACTGCTTTGTACATGGTCAATGCATTCTGAAGTGCTTTGCATACAGTATTGTCTTTGGCAGGATAAACCATATATTGTCCTACAAATATTTAGCTTCCATCAGCTTAGCTAGCATAATCAGTTGTGAGAAATTATGGGAATTCAGCAACTTTAGGACTATAGCTTGTCCAAATATAGATGCTGGTTGACTATTCTTATTTAAACGGCAGTGTGTGTGCATTGACCTCATACACCAGGCATAAAAAATAAAGAAATTAAAAACCAACAGGAATCTGTAAATTAAGGTCTGAAATTCAGTGTTTGAACTGGACTCAGAGTCAGATAATGGATACAGGTAGTCCTTGATCCTGAAGGGGAAATTGATTATGGAAAGAAGATAACAGAGAACTAGTTCTAAAATTTTGTATTTAGATTAGGGAAAGTTAACATCTTTAAGCTTTAGTCATACTTCATGGGAGGATGCCATCTATGCAGGATAGAAAATAAATGAAGGCTTTTTCAGAAATCAATTCTGCCCATGCAGTTTGAATTTCCTCAACAAATGAAATTTTGTAGCTTGTATAATAACAAGTTAAAAGAAATGTGTAGACCTGGAAAATATGATAATAGATATTGTTTTCTTAATGGTGTTATTTATTGATTGACTTGTTTTAGGCAAGTGTGCTTCTTGCTTTCTCTTGGCAGAGAGAATAGCAGAACAAAACCAAACATTACAGTAGTATTATTTTCAAACTAACTTTTGACTCAGTTTTATGAAGAGATGAAGAAGCCAAGGATCCCAATTCAAAAGTAACTTTATTATCCTTGTTTATCATAACATACTGATGTGCTCAGTTTGTACAGGGAGGTGTAACATTAATAGCATATTGCAATAATTAAGATAATACAGCTGTTTTGCAAAGTTTGCTATGTTTACTGACCAAATAATATTATTATACTAAAATTCCTGAGGAAATGGAGGAACTTACACTTTAATAACCATATTTTTGGCTTCCTATGAAAAATTGCACCATTGTCTTCTATCTTTCAAGCCCAAGCTACATTTATCTTTTTGATGAGAAAGATTTCACTGTTTTTCTAGCCAAATAAGTCTGATTATTTTTTGCAGGCCAGATTACAGCTTCAGTCTTGTACAAATTCCTGAGAAAAATGCACTTGCTTTTTATAGTGACTCTTTAAAGCCAAAGCTCCTTTAATGAGTTGACTCATGTAAAGCAGCTGCTTTTTCCTCAGTTACTCAGGTTATAAAGAAACATCTCTTCCAAAGAATGTTCAAAGCATGCACAGCTCTAGAAGCCATGTAAGTATTATAAATACTTTAGTAGAAAAGGAAGAAGTTCACATAGCAGTGTTCTTTTAGTTAAAATTTACACACAAGATGAAAGAAAGGATAATGTTATTTGGATATGTGAATGACCTCAGTAAAAATTAGTTAGGAAACACAAAGGGGCTAAAATAATTGATTACTAATTAAATATATACATTTGCTGCAGAATTGTGAAATATATCACTATGATCAGTTACCCACCCTTGCTCTAAATACAGCTTTAATTTGTAGATTGGTTGTTGCTTTTAAGAAATTTGTCTTTAGAGGTCAAGGAGAGCCCCTGAGTTGGTTTAGCACTTCCTTTCTGGAAAGTATAATTACATTCTACAATAAAAGAAACAAAGGCTTTAAAGGTTTTATTATTGCTTAGTGGTCCAGCTAAAGACAACTGCAATTAGTTATCTTTTTAAGTGGCATTAGAAAGAAAAATACTTCAGTTTTTCCACTTTGGGTTAAGAGAAATATTTACTGAAAAAACAGACTTTGTCCTGACAGGTTAAACAATTACATGATGATAGAGGAACTTAATTGCACAGTTAATTAATTGTAAAAGAGATGACTGTCTAGGAAAAATGTTGAAGGAAAATTTAAACATTGCCTTAGCAGTTTAAGTACCTTATTCATCAGAAAAAAATAGAACTGTAAATGTAAGATGGTCCTACCAAAAAGGAAAATCAGATAAAGAAAAAAGTACAAATGTACATATATATTTTTGCAGTGACCAGATTCCCTAACTTATCACTATAAATGGCCAACTCCAGTTAAAACCCTTACTGAAGCTCCTTCCACCTCACTGTTTATGGGATACCTGTAAACATGCTTGTCTATAAATATTGTATATACGCTCGGCAGACAAAAATTTTATTGGCTTGCTGAGAGCTGTAGTCAACAAGATTGTTCAACAGACAAGATGCTGATCAATAACCATAATAACAATACTAATATTCATATCTTTTCTCCCCTTTGCAATTCTCTTTAAAACCCCAGATCCTTCTATAGGACTGAAAGCCTTGGGCCAAAGTGGATATAGTGCATGAGCAAAAATTCATAGGAATTATTAAGTTACTTAATTGTTTGATAGATTACAGTTTCTTGTTTTTAGTTAGATCAAGTTGAATTTAATAAAATGTATATTTAACCAATATCCAAAACTTATTTGCCTAACCTAAAATTTAAATCAAATGAAAAATGAAGTAATATGTATTGCTGAATGATTTCTACAGAAAATAATGTGTTTGTTCTAAAGAAATAGCAGTAGGAGAAAAAAAAAATCTGAGGTGACAGAAAGGTTTGAATATAGAAATCATTTGGAAAAGAAAAGAAGAAAAGTGTATTTGGTCATTTATTTATTTTACTTTATTATTCAAATTGATATAGCTGCCCATCTCACAAAACAAATGAACTGTACAGGTAGTCCTCTCTTAATGACCATTTAGAAATGGAATCAGCAACTCCATTGCTAAGCGAAGCAGTTGTTAAATGAAATATCACGTGACTGCTGCACTTAAATGATTGTAATTTGGCTGGTCCCTGTTGCTGACATTGTGAGTCCTATATGACTGTTAAGCAAGGGCCTACCCTAATTCAAACCAGTCCCTCCCAGTCCCAAGGCAAGAGCTTCCAGTTCTCTCCACCTGCCTGTCTTCCCCCATATCACTGCCCTTTTGGTTACCAGCCACCCCCATAGGTTCAAAAATACATTCTCTGTCACAAGAGCCTTCCAGGAAAAACAGTGGTAGTGATGAAATTAATTATGTTAGTAAAGAAAATAGGATATTTTTCTTTAGAAATAATTTTTAAAAGCTTATATAACTTGAAATATGCATAACTTGGTCTTTAAAGGTTAAATCAAACGAATATATTTAGCTTAAATGGGTAATCACCAGAACTATACATGTAGTGGGAAACTGAAAAAAAAACATTCCAGACAAAGGCAGCGTCAAACAATTCCTGCATTGTTGCCTTGTTGTGGTGTCAGAAAAGGGAAAGGAGTAAACCACAACCAATGGTGAGGAAAAAAGCTTTCACTAATATACAAAAGGCATCATTCCATTCTGTATTTTCCTCTGTCTCACACAGAAGTGTTGATAGAATAGAATAACAGAGTTGGAAGGGTCCTTGGAGGTCTTCTAGTCCAACCCCCTGCTTAGGTAGGAACCCTTACACCACATCATCTTACAGTAGTCCTTCAAAAAACTATATTGTGTAAGAAAAGAGAGTGAATGTTGGTAGAAGATAAGCAGATCACCAACTTGATAGTTCTGCTTGATTTTTTTCCCTCCCCCCCACTTTTATTTTTTCTCTCTTCCTAGCAAATATTGGTTCACTCCCGCGTAAATGCAACCAAAGTAATATTTTTGATTACGGATGGATATTCCAATGGAGGGGATCCTCGTCCCATTGCAGCATCCTTGCGTGAGTTTGGAGTAGAAATCTTCACATTTGGGATATGGCAAGGCAATATCAGAGAGCTGAATGACATGGCTTCTCACCCAAAGGAGGAACACTGCTACTTGCTCCACAGTTTTGCAGAGTTTGAAGCTTTAGCGCGCAGAGCTCTCCATGAAGGTATTGGATCTAGATCTGGCTTTGATTACCTGTGTGTTTTCAAGCTCAGGGATAGTATATGATCCAAATTTGAAATATGGCCGTAACTCCAGTACAGGTAGTCCTCGACTTACGATCACAATTGATCCTGACATTTCTGTTGTTCAGCGAGACAGTTGTTCAGTGAGTTTTTTTATAACCTTTCTTGAAACCCCATTTTACAACCTTTCTTGCCACAGCTGTTAAGCAAATCACTGCAGTTCTTAGGTTAGTAACACAGTTGGTAAGTGAATCTGGCTTTCCCATTGAGCTTTGCTTGTCAAAGGTCACAAAAAGGGATCCTTTTGACTCTGAAACACTGCAGCAGTCATAAATACGAGCCAGTTGCCAAGTGTTCAAATTTTGATCATGTGGCCATGGGAATACTGCAGTGTTGCAAGTATGAAAAATGGTCATAAGTCAGTTTTTTCAGTGCCATTGTTACTTTGAATGAACTTTTACAAGTCGAGGATTACTTGTAATAGATTAACTGGAAGATATTCATTATGCAAGTATAACATTGTGAAACTCAACCTCATCCTTTGCCCAAATGCTATTATAGTTATTTTTATAGTAAGATATTCATTTTGATTTTAAAATAATAATTCTGATTGTGATTCAATGTCTTTCAATACACGTGGGAATATTACGTGTGCCAGGTTCAAGAAGAATATTTGTGACCAATCACCCCAATCTCATATAGTTAAGACGAAGTTTTCAGGACACCTTATTTTTGTAGTTCTGAACAATCCATTCACTTTATTTTTGCCTCTATGTCTTACACTTATGGAGAGACTTAAGCAGCACATTAAATCATGCCTCCCCCTTTATTCAATATACATTGAATATTTCTACATTGAATAAATGAACTATACCAGATATTTCTGTTTCAGAATTGTAAAAAAATGAATTACATTTTATAAGTACAAAAACTAAAAATTGAGTTGCATTTTATAAAAAGTCTATATCAGAGACTTTTGGAATTTTCTCTTTGAATATCTTGATTAGAGAATAAATGTTTGTATTAAAATCTACAGAACTCATTTTAACCATATGTTCAAGAGACTTTACCTGGTTAATTTACTGGGTAATATTGTCAAATAAAATTGGAAATATTAAAATGTATAGTTTAATGAATGAATACAATGTGGCTTTTGCCGGACAAAATAAATAAAATGGCTCAATTATTTCCCATCTTTTAAGAATAGAACGATGCTTTCTAGAGAGATACAATAATGTTTGAATGAGAGGACTTCTGCATCTCAGTTTTATTACAATAAAGTTTGCACAGGAGAATAATTCAATACATTGTATCCATGGAAATTAATTTGCAGATGCATTAACAAAATGGAGCAAAACTATCATTGGAAATTAATTGATCTCTTATTCTCATCAAATATTTGCTTGAACAGGAAAGATAAATGGGTTTTAAAATAAGTAGCATTGTTGTGGTAATTTTAACCATTAGGATTTAGCTTACTTTTGCATTTCACTGAAATGTCTACTTTAAAAAAAAACCTCTAGATGAGTAGATGTCTTTAACTATTTATTTGCTTATTTATTTGGAACCCCTATCCTGTCCTCCCAAATATCCTAATTACAGATTTGCCTTCTGGAAGTTACATTCAGGAAGATATAGCATATTGCTCCTATCTTTGTGAGGGGACTGAAAATTGTTGTGATACCATGGCAAGCTGCAAGTGTGGTACTCACACAGGACACTTTGAGTGTATCTGTGAAAAGGGATACTATGGCAAAGGACTACAGCATGAATGTACAGGTTAGTAACTATTTTCTTCTGTTATGTTTTGTATCAGGCTTGGGTTTGGGCAAGGTTGTTCAAAGCTTCCCAGTACTGTATATCCCAGGACCATACTTATTGTACCAACAGATTGGTTTTACAGAATTTATAACACATTCAAGAGATGTCTGTAATAGCCAAAGTCCAAACCTGAATATTTAGCCAGCCAAATGGCTCATAGCTCCTTGTATGCAATTTCCATGCTTGGAGTTTCGATATGTTACGTTTGACTTCACAAATTACATGTAATGCATATAGCCCCCATAAAAACCCCACTCATGATATAAATGTCCATTAAAGAATTTGTCTATACTGTAGTGTCTCGTGAGTATGGTGGTGGAAAACTTGGGTTTCTTATTTGTGGAAATTGTGAGAAATCGTCATCTTTCAAGTGCCCCATCTTGGACATCAGCAGATTCAAACCATCATTCAGATTAAGTTTTTTATTTAGCTGGATATATAATTGTTGGCTTTACATAATTTGCATTTTCTTGTAAATATTGTCAGTATTTAATTGGATACATCTTGAGAGTCAATACACTTCATGGATTTCCCAGTTGGCTAGATATCAGTACCAATATGTTGCCTTGCAAGGTTATCTCCACAGTAGAGATCTTAAATAGTATAAAATAATATAACCATACTTGGGGCAAAACTTTGTGCTTCTAGTTAAATTGTGTGATGTGACAAGTACTGTATATTAGTTTTATCTAGGTTGTTATGGGTGTACATGAAAGTAGAAATCTATAGGTTAGAAAAAGTTACATGATATGCTCCAGTTAATTGTGATAATGGTAGAAGGAGTTCTGGGAAAATTTGTCCAGTTTTCTGAATGAATGCAGTTCAGGAGAGAAAATATTCTCCAACTTGATGGGCAAGATAGGAATAAGAAAAATAAAAAGTGGAATGGGCCATTTTGAAAGCCAAAAGTGAATGAAAATGCTGACACTTTGGTGACTGTCTACTTAAGGAAAATACTGTTTCAGAGAAGTGTAGTAAGCTATATTTATTCAAGCAGACAGACACTGTGGAAAAGGGATGGATTAAAATCATGATGGACTTCACTATTCATAATAAAGACAGAATGAGCAAAGGATACAAAAGTGATGAGAAATTCTAGATTTTGGCCTTTTTTACAGAAAAAAATGAACATGGAAGAAAAGGAAAGGAGTGTTATAAACTAAAATGCAAATCAAATGACTGCAGAAAAAGAAAGTAGGAATCTTATATGAAACAGAAGAAGAGAGAGTTGGGAAGATCCAAAGAAAGACAGCGTGGAAAATGTTTGAAATACAGTGGAAAGAATTATGTAACAGCATGTGGAGTGTATGTGTAATTATATTAACAAAGTATGAAAAAGGATGCTTGGTAAAAATGATGAAATGAAAGTTGCTGTGGCTAAGAGGAAAATGCATAGAAGAGAACGAATGCTTCCAACTCTGAGAAAGTTTTGTATAAAACTAAGACACTGTATAGAAAGAAAAAGATATTTGCCCAAAACAAAGTGGAAGAGAGTAAAGATGAAAAGATGAAGAGAAAATGCAGGGGTATGTTGATGGAATTAAACAATTGTTTTAGAAATGCTAAAGATTGCTAAATAAAGACTCCCCAAGAGAGTGAAAGGAATTAAAATAAAAGTGATGAAATTATTTGGAGTGAAATTGAAATGAGGAAATGCTGGAAGAATTTGTTTAAGTATTGATAGTAGCCGCTTGTAGGAAAATGGAATTGAATCAAATGTTACATTAATAACATTTGGTCTTCTGGATGGAGATTGTGCATGTGTGTGTGTGAATGAATAAAAAGAATTATATGAATGCTATCAGAGATTTGGGAAATGACACACTTACAAGCATTGCAGCATTCCCACAGTCACATGATCAAAATTCAGATGCATGGCAACAAGTTCATATTTATGATGATTGCAGTGTCCTGTCCTGGGGTCATGTGATCACCTTTTGCAACCTCCTGACATAGAAACACAATGGGGATGCCAGATTCACTTAATAACTGTGCTATTAACTTACCAATTGCAGTGATTCACTTAACAACTGTAGCAAGAAAGGCGTAAAATAGAGCAAGACTCACTTAACTAATGTTTCACTTAGTAACAGAAATTTTGCACTCGATTTTAGTTGTAAGTTGAGGACCACCTATAGAAAAAAAAATCCTTTATATTTTTTTGTTTGTTTCATAGCAGATTCAGAAAAACTCATATTGTGCCTCTGATGTAAACAAATGCATCACTTTCCTAATAATCTTAACATGGCATTTTGACTCTCCAATATAAAGCAACCAGTGGTGGAATTCAGCCGGTTCGCACCAGATCGGGTGAACCGGTAGCAAGGATTTGGCGTGGGTCGCCGAATCGGTAGTAAGTTCTGGCTGGCCACGCTCCTGACCTGGTTGGCCGGTTGCCGCTGGCTCGCTTGCCCTGCCCACCTGATGCTTGCTCACCCCACCCACCTAACGCTCGCCCTTTAAGGTATTTCTTTTTTTCCCCTCCCGACAATCAGCTGTTCATACAAACAGCTGTTCTGGGATTCCCCTTGCTAAGGCCCAGGAAGGCAAAAAATGGAAGGAGGGGCTCAGTCCCCCCTCCATGTTTTGCCTTCCTGAGGCCCAGAGGAGCCTTCTGGGAGCAAAAAGGTCCCCCCAGAGGATCTTCTGAGGCCAGGAAGGTCCCAAAATGGAGCATGGAAGGGTGCTGCATGCCCCTCCCATGCTCCGTTTTTTTCTTCCTGAGCCCCAGAGGAGTCTTCTGGGAGGAAAAACGCCCCGCAAAGGCCTCCTCCTCTGATATTTCACTTATGAAAATATCTACTATAATAAAGCAGAGAAGGTTAGTTCTCCAATAAGCATGGAATTAAAACCACAATTATTCCTTAACATCAGCTGTGCTGATTGGGGTTGCAGTCCAACCATTGGAGGACTGTAAGTTCTTCCTTTCTGCTGTATTATTTTCTTTTGATTCTGCTTTTAGATTTTGTTCAAAAACATCTCACTCCAAGTAAAGCAGGAGAGCCAGTTTTATTTAAAAGGAATAGATATTTGATCCAATACTGGGGGAATGAGGAATAAGATGAGAGGGAGGAAAGAGATTGAGATCATTTGAAATGCAAGACTGTTGTGCAATAGTATGTAAAAAGTGTGTAGAAAAAGATATTTGGATTGTGTGATCAGCTTAGTATATCAAGAAACTAGGCTGACTCTTTGTGCCTAAAATATGTCTGTATCTTCCAAATACACAGGCTGTGGTGTCTCATTTAAAGCTAGGTTTGTTGGGGGTTGTCTGGGGAAGTCTTGGACATTGTGGTGGTACATATTTTAGGAATCATGTCAGTGGACTTTTCCTGCATGTTCCATCAAGCTATCTTGAGCTCTATTTTGTAGGAAGATGAGAAACTGATCTAGCAAAACTATAAACAACAGTTTATTTTTTAGAAAGATTTGGGTGACGTCTCTTTTTTGAAATTTTAGCCTCTTATATGTATACATGTACATGTACACGTACACGTACATGTATATGTATGTATGGTATTTGGCTTTGTTCGGGTATTTTCCCACGTCATTATAGTTGTGCTTTTAAAGTTGTAGCAACGTTTCAGCAGAATCTCATCTGCCATCATCAGGCTTCTGTATTGTGTTCGTCTGTGAGTCAGACTTTTACAGTTGTTTCAGTTTTAAATTTGGGCCTAGCCTACTGCTGTGCCAGAATGGTTTTTTCTTCATCCTGATTGGTTGGGAGTCTTGATCTGTGTTTATTGGTCTTGGAGTTTGCTGTGTTCTGCTTGATTGGTGTTTCTAACATTAGAAACTTACGTGTATGGTATTCGGCTTTGTTCAGGTATTTTCCCACATCATTATAGTTGTGCTTTTAAAGTTGCAGCAACGTTTCGGCAGAATCTCATCTGCCACAGAAGCCTGATGATGGCACATGAGATTCTGCCGAAGCGTTGCTACAACTTTAAAAGCACAACTATAATGACGTGGGAAAATACCCAAACAAAGCTGAATACCACACACACACACACACACATACATACATATACATACATATACTAGCAGCTGCTCTACATTTTACACTCTAGCAGAAAGGGAAAGTCTTCTATATCCTTTCACAGATTTTGGACATTTTACTTTCTCTTTTTATGTATTGAAATGTTATGCTTTACTTTATCTGATAACACAAGAAACTTTTAACTACCAAAAAAAAAAGCTCCAACAAAAACAAAGCCAAAAGCAATCTGCCAAATATCTCATACTACATTAAACTGGATAATCTAATCTCAAAATAGAACTAAAATCAAGATGTTTTTGCAAATAGAAACAAAATAAACCTTCCTTAGACCCTATCAGCTAAAATCAAGTGTATACATTAAAAGTGCTAAATATAGAAAATCTCCCATATAAAAGTTCTATAGTTAGAAAGCTACTGCTGTACCACAGAGGTAACATTGAAAACTGTTGTAGCTAATTGATGGCTTTAGACCAGGGGTGTCACGTGATATATTGGGACTTTCCCCCCCTTTGCTAAACTGGGTGGGGGCGTGGCTAGCATGTGACGCATCCGGCCCGTGGCCAGGAGTTTGACAGCCCTGCTTTAGATCATTAGCAAGGTACCAGTAATCTCCTATTCATCCTAAACAGATTTTATTTATTTTTTAAAAAATTATATAGCCACCTACTCCCTCACAGCAACTCTAGGCAGCTTACAAACAGTAAAAACACAATATAGATTTTTTTAAAAAAAAAAAAAAACCCTACCCATGGCGACAACATAGATTTTTAACCTGTGAGCTAGTATAAACTGGAGTTCAGGTGAGGAAGTCCTTTTTTTCTTCAGTTTCTTTATTATCCACCTCTTGCTGCTTAGATAAGTGTAGGTATCCTCTACTCTAAGACATTATTTACCTCTTAATCAGATGCATCTGTTGTCATGGTAAAGGTCATATAATGGAAGGATCAATACACAGTAG